ACAAATAGAAAAATAAGTTTTCTGGTAACGGCATTCACACTGTTTCTTAAATATGAGTCTGAGTTAAAGGCAAGTTCATGGCTATCCTTAATATTACAAATATGGAACACCGAAGATCAGCCACATAGTGGAATAAGTTAACTGGGAATATAGAAAAACAGCCACAGTCTCGACAAAAGTCATTATAGAGGAGACCCAGTCTCATAGCATACCTTCCTATTTCGTAGTAGCCCATCAGCACAGATACCGTAGGGCTGAACAGGTTCCATCTTAATTGAAGCAGCTGACTAGTTCGTTTCCTGTCTAAATTAGGCCAAGTCAACCTAAATATCTGACAGTGGGGTTCATCAGCACAGTATTTTTTAGCTATGTTTAGATATTTTTTTTTAATTGCCAGTTTAACTGTAGCAAGATGGACTATGCTCTCAAAACATTTTCAATGCGGCCAAATCAAAAATCAGTGTATTGTGAATGTTCACTGAAAATATATTGTAAAATTCCCGCCATCCATTAAAATCGTATAATCAACATAATAATAAACTGCAATATATCAAAACAATGAGATAATAAATGTTTACCATTGCACTATATTATTCATTTAGTTTTTTTCTATGTCTATTAATTAATTTTTTATATTTTCAAAAGTTATATTTTATTTTGTACACAACAAAAAAAAACATCTGCTCAAAAAGTACCCGGATTTTGTAAATAAAACACACAAATTTAAATTTTATTCCAAATTTATTTTATCTCCTTCAAAATATGCTCCTTCTGAAGCGATACACATATGCCAACGCTTAACCCAATCTTCCATACACTTATCGTAAGCCCGTGTATGTATGGCTTTTAGTTCATTCGGCGAATTGTCTTTTACCGATTCAATCAACTCAAAACGCTTACCACGAAGAGGCAATTCGAATTTCGGGAACAGAAAAAAGTCGCACGGCGCCAGATCTGGTGAATATAGTGCCTGAGATATGACAGTGGTGCCGTGTTTGGTCAAAAAATCGCGTACAACAAGAATTTTCCATAGTAAAAATCGCTAAATGCACTTGAGGTAGTCTCAGATTAACAGCTGCTGTAAACAAACTAAATGACAGATGGGGCTCAAATTTATACCATATGTCAAGAAAGGGTGTACCAACATAACTAAAAAAATTTTTAAAAAAGGTCTTATGCTTAAGGAGTAGTTAACAAACAACAAAATCCGGATACTTTATGAGCAGAAGGAATGTCAAAAAAGTGCATTTGACATATTTTTAAAATGATGCCAATTTGTTTCAACCAGACTTATTGCTGTTTTTTTACAACTCTGAAAAAAAAATACGGCTAATGTTAACTTAAGTGACAGATTCTTTATTAAAATTCATAGGACTGTTTAATTTTTTTAACTTGTATACAAAAGTAGTCATCGCACGCTTACGTTAAAAAAATTAATAATTAGGCATTAAGTGAAAATTTGACCGAAACAGATTTATTAACAGCGACCAAAGTGCCATGCGTACAAAATTGTTAACCTAAATCAAAAACATTCTCCAACTCTGATCGACAAGGCACACTCATATTTTCATAGATAAAATCTTTAACAGGAACGATGACGAATTGCTAATGGTTCCGTCTTGCATAGCTTGCATTTGCTCACATTTTTTGTGGTTGTGCATGTAGAGTGTAAACTTAAAGTGCATAAAACTAAAAAACACAAAGCAGTCAGATAAAAAACATATCTTTTTTAAAGTAAATGTTTATTTAATGCCGAGAGCACAATTTTAAAACATTTAAAACAAATTTTTAAAGGCAAACAAACTCACGGAGCAACGCGTGATTAATTTCTGCTGATAACAGATTCATTTGTTTTACATATCCACGGTTTTATTGTGCATTCTACGTAATGAAAGCATCTGTGAGCTCTTCGCGAAACGAGCACGTTTCCAACATAAAACTTTTACATACTCATATATTTTAATTTATTTCTATACATTCTGTTGCAGTGAAAATGTTAGCCTTTTCAAAACTATTTACAGTTTACGTTTTATTGGAGTTGGAGCTGGAGCTGGAAATAGTTGAGCGTGCCTATTGCCAATTCTGTCAAAGAAATAGCCGCGCACTTATGAATCTGCACGGATTTTCAGTAAAGTTTTAGAAAGCTCACCGCTGCAAAATTTTGCGTAACAAATCTGAGAGATTGAGTTTTGGACAGATTCGCTAATACTCACGTAATTGTTTTTAATTTATTATTGCGATTCTGTCATTTGTGAAAGCTGAGTCAGCTATTTAGGAGTGAGCTTAAGATTGAGTACGCAAATGTGGCTTTAGTAAGCAGATGATCGCATGTGGGTGGAGTTGTTATTAGTATCTTAGTCATATACACCTTAAGTATGACAGTCATATGCTTTATGGAGTCTATTTACAGTTACACAGTTACATAAAAAATAAAGATAAATTATTTAGTGTAATAAAATTGAAAAAGGTTTAAGCGTATATGTGAACCTTTTATAGAGTATAAAGGATTCAATGATTTTATTTTTCATGGCGGCTTTATTACTCTAATTTAAATACTCTCTTAATATTTTGAAAATTTTTTGTCTTAAAAATTTATATTAGTAGGGGAATATAAAAAATTTCGATT